TATTGTAAAGCGCTCAGAGCCGGTGTATTTTAATCGGGGTTGAGCGCTATATATAAACGTCATTTATTATTATTATTACAAATGGCAAAACTTGAAACCCCCTCCCCCATAGCCCATTCAGCTGTAGTCACAATCAGGTGGAAAACTCTGATCCTTGAAATGAATAAATTATTGTTATATGTTTTACACTCCGTCAACACAAAACACAATTTAGATAACTTTGGAGGCAGGCTGCTTCGACCCCGCCTGTCAGGGCCAGCCCGGCAGACAAACAGAGCAGATTTTTTTAAAATCTCTACATTCATGAATCGACTAGCATTTTCTGAGTGCTAAGGCAAAGTGCCTAGCCACTACACCACAGATGCCAGTGATAAAAGGTAACTAACTTTCATCTGGTAGTTTGAGTAAAGAGATACCACATGACAACAGGAGGTTTGCGCAGGGGAAAAAAACCAAGAAAGACACAGACGGAAATAACAGAGGGAAGGAAAAAAGTAGTGCAAACTCTGATCATCTGCAGATAGCAGTAAATACAGATACAGATTACAGATACACTCTTTTCAAACATTAAATATTATGGAGATTCAAAGAAATGGTAACAGAAATAAGGGAATCTTTGAATGAGCAGTCAACACACACTACAAAGAACGGTGACTATGATGCCATCACACGCGATAGGTATACACATCAGATCTTCCTACAGGTAAAACCCAACTCCAATATTTGAGCTTTGAGAGATCGGGACATTGTGAGCATAAAAAAAGTATCATCAAAATTAAAACCAAAACCACAACAGCAAAAGAATACAATTCAATATCACAAACAGATTGGAATATGCAGCCCCTTTTAAAAAAAAAGTTGCATAACAAATGTGAAGCATGCCGACAAAATGAGTTACTTCTCAGATTCGAGCCCTATGGAAATATGTACATCAACTTATAGGTGAAGTTTTCACAATTTATAAGTATGAAATAATAATAAGCCTGTCATACTTGAAAAATATGGCATCAATAGAAAATCTACTAATTTGACCCTAGTGTCGATTTTGGGCCAATATCTCCATTTGTGGAATGCGAGAAGTAACTCATTTGGTCAGCACGCCTCACAAATATTCCTCCCTAAAGGCCTCTTGGGGAAAAAAACAACAACATGTGATTGTAGAAGTTATGTGTCCCCATCAACACAATTTAAATAATTTAGAAGGCTGACTTCGACCCTTCCTATTGGCCAATTTGGGCTGTAAGTTAAGGGATACAACATCCCAGCAGACAGATGGAGGCTCTGTTAAAAAACTTCCCCTTCATCTGACTAAGACAGCAAAGTGTCTGACCGCTACATCACAGACGCCGGGGGCCTCTTGGAAGCTCAGACAAAGGAAGAACATGACCAGAACATATCTGATACAGTGTGGTGAAATCAGGTGCTCGTCAAAATAATGAAATCGAAGAAAACAGCATTTTTCTTCCCATTTGGCAATTTTTGTCGAATTTTAAAATTTTGACTCAACACCTTGTAGGGCCTATGTCCATTCAAAAACAATTTGCTGAAGGGTTTTACTGAAAAACGTTGATTAAAGGCACAAACAATGTAAATTCAGTTTTCAAGGACTCTCAAGCTTTGGAAGTCACCAAAATTTGGCGGACATTTTCTCTCTTATTTTACCTCTGAAACCAGT